GTGTCCAGCGTTGATTTGATGATGGGGGTCGCCAGGTCAAACAGTGTCTCTCCTTGTGTTTGAAGTTAGTGCTTACAAGATACAAATGATTATCTGAACAGAACTGTAGGAGACGGTCACCGTTGTCGGTTCGCTGGCACGGAATTCCGTATGTGCCACCAACCTTCTTCTCAGATTGACACAATTTCCCTACTTGAGCATTAAAGTCACCAGCTAAAACGACTATATCTGAGCGTCTAGCCTTTCGCAGCAAACTAGACAGCTTTTGGTAGAACTCATCCTTCGTTTCATCCGAACTGCAGTCAGTGGGGGCGTAGGCGGAGATTACGAAAAGGCATCGGCGAGTAGTGCAGTCCTTTCTCCTTTTCACTGATCCGTTCAGGCGGACAGCGCACATTCGGCTATCTACCGGGATCCAGTCAAGTAATGTCTTTTCTGCCCTAGTACTTAAAGCTATCCCAACACCAGCTAATCCTCGTGAGCTAGCCGTCGCATCTCCTGACACCCTCAAGGTGAATTTTGCAGATTCATCCTGTTGGCCAGGTGGGTTTAGGTGAATAACCACACTTGGGTCCTGTATGCGTGTTTCTGAAACACAACATACATCAATGGCTCGGGATGCCAGAGTCTTGGCTAGTGATGCTTGTTGTCCTATTTGGTAGTGTCCTAACATTAAATGCTCCTATATAAAATTGGTGGCGTGGTTTTAGGAGACAATCGGTGGTGGCTTTTTGGCTTCCATCGTTATCAGTGCACACAGAGTGAAGGGGAAGTGAAGAGCCAACAAGTAGAGGAGTTGCATTGGTAGAAGGAAGGCAAGATAATAGAGATGAAGGTGAAGACAAAGATGAGCGAGGATTAGAGGGGTTTCGCGTGCACTTCGGATTGTGAGGGCGATTGGTACTTCCCGGCTGCCCACACCGTGGAAGTTGGTTGCGTGACCGCAGAGCCCAGGGGACAACTGCTTGAGGCCGGTCACACACGGCCTGTTTTTGTTTGTTCTTTTTTATTTGGTGTGTCTCAGTAGCGTATTTATCACTTCTGCCCTGTGACACGGCAGCAGAAAGCGCGGTCGTTGTTAATCCGGGCCCCGACCGATCCGGCATGATATTTTGTGATTTATTTGAAATCATAGGATTGGATTGGGTAACTGCTTTTAGTCTAACTGCTATCCAAACAACCTTTCTGGCATGGTAGGACCTGCAGGAACATAAGTTCCAGCCAGTATAGCTTGTTGGGTCATTGCAGTGTTCAAGCCCGACCACCACGTCAAGGTGGCAGCTTTCGGTCGGGAGTGCAGGTACATCCAGTTGACGAGTCACAAATACGACGAAATGAGCATCCTGGATTCCACTGTTAGTCACCACCCATCAAGTGACTTCAAATAACAACTCCTCTTCAAATATCATATGTGTATTTAAATTTGTAGAGCCATATTAGGAAGTTATCAGAAAAAAAAATAGTGCGTCGGTGACACAGCAGTAGAACACTGCCCAACCACGCATGTGGTCTGAGATTAGAGCCCTGGCTGACGCACTCCTTTACCTTGTTAAGCTAGTAATAATACCGGTAAAGAGGGGAGGTTGGGCATGAGGCTAGCAACTCCATCCCGTAAAAATAAATACCACTACTACCGAATCCATATGTTCCGATGGGAGCGTAAAGGAATAAAAAATTAGAAAAAATATTCTTTCCTCAATTTACTTTTGTTTCCCGAATAGCGAAATGTGAATTTTTGTTGAATCCGCTATGCCACCGACGCACTAATCCAATACATAGTGGGAGATAAATGAAATGAAAATATAGCATTCGAATCAGCAGCATCTAAATTACTAGTTTCACCGCAAAGGTTGGGAGTTCGAGTCCAGCAGTGAATCAGATATTCATTTTACCTTCAAGTATCACTTATTACATTAATAACAGCCTGCTAATCCCAAGAGCTTATGGACAGTTGTCATCTGCTGAAGTTATGAAAACCAGTTGTGTCCTTCAGGAATGCCCACTGCCCCCTCCCCATTTTTGCTTAATTTCAACATAAATGTGTACTAGTGGAATTGACCCTAACTGCCTTAGGCGAAAAAGACATTAACTTGTCATCAGGGAACACTCTTGACAATTTAGAACAGGTAGATAATATTTTCTTCCTATGTGAAGATGCTGATAAAATAGAGTCTTCTGAACACCTTGAGCAACAATCTTCGAATGATTTTCATGCGATCTTCTCCTGTCAAATGTAAGATGATGCTACAGAAGTGGACTGCGCCGACTCCTAGCTCAAAGATAGGCAGTGAAGTAGTGGTAAGTGTGTTGACCACTTCACTTACTTTGGGAGTTGCACCAGCTGCTCCAATGAATTGATTTCTCACGAAATCGCACCACGAGTACAAATAGCTCGTGTGACAATTTGCCAACCTATTTCATCTCTGGTCTACACATGATATCCAGGTATCGATCAAAGGACGCGGGTGCACTGCTCAGGATTTCACCTTGTTTTCCTCCATAGCTGTGAGATTTAAAACCATTAAGAGTGAAAATATATGAAAGGCTATCTGTCTTTGATCATAGGTGTCTGCGTTCTATGCCTCATGTTCAGTAGTTAAGCTTAGAGTGGTAGAGGGGAGAAGGTGAAAGCAACCGATGAGGTTATGAAGCTACATCGATTGAAATGGTTGCGCATACCAAACCACTGTCTTCCTCAACGAGCGATGTTAGCTGATATAGTATTAGGCTGAAAAAGAGAGTAAGCTGTAGTCAAACCAGAAACTGGAATCAATCCATGAAACCTTTGACATTTAGTTCCAGCCATATAGGGAGGTGTAGACTACTTAGTTGGGGTCCTCGGGAAAAAAACCAATGCATGGAAACTATTGCAGATATGGCTTAAAGTCGCTCCCAAGGCTGCAGATGCGCTTATTCTTTGTGAACTCCCACATCTATTAAACCCTAATAATTTTCAACTTTACTAATCTTTTTCCTCATATTTCTGCTTACAATAGTTCTTTAAAATCTGTCATTACTTACTCTCTACTGTCTACCTTTATGTGCTTCATGAAATGTGACAACTTCAATTGGTGCATTTCTGTTGTGCAAAGTCCTATGCTGAAACTCAGTTAGTCAGCTAACCTAAGACTCGCTGTCTCTCCCCCCCCCCGCCCCCCTCAGAGATAGATTCGCCATTAATTAAATCTAAATCTACAGTAACATCTCGATTTCTATTTATATGCAAATAAGTAGTATCGTTTTGCATAAATAGAGGAGTTGTAAATTGGCTTGAAAAACACAAGGTAGTTGCAACATTTTTTCTCAGTCGGCACCAATTGTTCACAAAATAAGAAGTATGTAGTTACTAAAGTTTAATACGCCATGATAACTAACTAATTATGTATGCATATGTGAATATGTCTCATCTTTTTTGAACAAAGATGAATATATATATATATACAAAAAAAAGTATTCAATCACTTCTACTAGCATGGGTAACAATCTTGTTTTTGTTTTCAAGTGTTGATTTGCAGGGATTTGAATGGTTTCAGGATTTCATCATAAACAGACATCGGTCGGAGGACCCCTGGAATACCTGAGAGTACTGGAAAGCTGTTTTGATTAGCCTAGTTTGGAACTCTTCAGCGGTACGCACCTACCGAGGTTAGCACTCAGGAACTTCTGGTTTCAAGGAGAACTTGTAGACCATTAAGCCACTGGGGCCAAAAGACCCCGGGTATGTGCGTACTTCTGAAGAGTTCCAAACTAGGCTAACCAAAACAGCTTTTCAGTGATCCTCCCTAACCGATGTCAGTTAATAATGAAATCTTAATTTGTTCTTTTCAATACTTTGTAACTCTTGTATTTCCTTCGAAGTCTTACGTAAATTAACATTTTCCCCCGTTTCTATGTGCATCCTGATTACAACTCATTATTCATTAAATTCCTTATCTTCTTGCATAAACCAATACAATTATTCAACTCTCGTTTTTTGTATTGATTATTATTAACAACTACGCTTATGAAAACTCATCAGTTGTATCGCCATAGAGGGAAAATTTTTTGTTTCCTTCACGTTCCCCAGTGGAACATAGGGCGTAAAGCTAGTGGCTTGAAGTTTCTGTAGCAGTGTTTCACTTTTACAGGATGGGGTTGCTAGCCTCATGTCCAACCTTTCCAACTCTTCACCAACATTACTTCTGGCTTAGCGAGTGCGTCTGTGGCCGGGGATCGAACCCCGAACCGTATGCATGGTCGGCGAGCGTCCTAACCGCTACGCGCCACCGACGCTTTATATAGGGAAATAAATTCTCCAAAAAGATACTTTTCGCTGAATTACTTGTATTGTTCTTTTCATTTAATAGGCGTTCAAAATCGGTCACTCTCAGTACTAACTAATCACATGACATAATCGTACCACAGTGTATATTAGTATTTTTGTCTCATTACAAATAGATCTACCAAAGTAATCAAAACAAGTATGCAAAATAATATATAGCACAAAGTTATACTTTACGAGTTGATCACGGATTGATATCATTTAGAGAACCATTGGAAAACCTGCAGGGAGTGTACTGGAAAGCCGTTTCATCCTAGTTTTGGAAATCATCGGCAGTACGCACCCACTGTCAGGGTTCGAACCTTCGAACCCAGGACCTTCCTGTTACAAGGAAAGCTAGCTCGTATACCATTCACCCACTGGGACCCGATTAAATGGCCATCCTGTGAATTCTAACTTCTACTTTACGAGCTTGCCTTGTAACTGGAAGGTCCTGGGTTCGAACCCTGACAGTGGGTGTGTACTGTCGATGATTCTCAAACTAGGACGAAACAACTGTCCAGTACTCCCTGCTGGTTTTCAATGGTTCTCTAACTGATATCAATCCGTAGTCAAACTCGTAAAAACATAACTAACCCTTACAAACCAAACTATAGAAAACAAAGTTATACAACATTTAACTGAAGAGTTGGTTTTATGTTTGTAAAAATAAAACCCACCCTGAAAGAAAACACCTTACCTGTTCATCTAAAAATGTATGCTCCAAGTCTATTTCTCTGAAATGCACACGTCGAAATATCTCCTCCATAGTTTCAATATGAAATCGATTCAATCGAATACCTGAAGTGAGCAAAAGTGAAGATATAAAAAAAAGAAAAGAACTCATTATGAACTGATCAATTGCACACACACAGGATTATAATATGCGTACGTGTACGTGTGTGTGTATGTGCGTGTGTGCATGGGTTTGAGTATACGTGTACACCATTAAAACTGGATCGTCTGAATACTATTCTAATCAGCTCATTGTTGACTGAACAATAGAAGAAATATGACTGATAAGTAAGTCTACAAGGAGATATATATATATTTCATCTCTTTTAACTTTTCATTAGTCACGTGTCAAGTATTGTGTATACCTTTTTTTATATACCTTGGTAAAAATCAATACGAGTCGAAAAGAAACGAAGCAATGAGAATTTCTATGCATTAAGCAACTGTCAACGATAATTAATTTGAGTATTAGATATTGAAAAATTTATTTATATGATGCAAGCAGGCAGAGAGATTTACACTACGCATTGATGAGATGTATATGCATTTCACATTACGCAAACTCATTAAATGGGACGTGGAGGGTGGATTGATTCGATCAGTTAAATTCCACTTTTCTAAAGTTGTATGTTGCCTCCACGTGCCTCAGTTACGCACGCACACATAAATACACACACACGCACACATAAATACACACACACGCACAATGGAGAGAGGTTGTCAGTAGTAAGTAGTAGTTCAGTAATGATTTATTGTGATTCAAAAATTAATTTAGACTAACATGATTGCCATTACTACTATACAGCCATAAATAAACGAACTGGCGCTAACAGCTGATCAATGTTTTTATTGATTAGGGAATAAAATCAACCTAAATAAATTGTTTCAATTGTGGGGTTTTGTAGGGATTTGGATTATTTCAATGTAGATTTCGTCACTAACCAGTATCATTTAGAGATCATTGGAAAATAGGAAGCGCTAGTCAACAGTTTTGTCCTAGTTTCAGACACTTCAGCAGTGTCTACCCACATCCCCACAAGGAGGCCAAGCTCGCTGACAATTAAGCTCCTGGAGTAGAATTCAGTAAGCCGTGAAATCTAACTTCTGTTAATTCGTGGTGTGATGGCACCTCCAAGTCGATGATTTTTATGGGTATTTAACTCCCCTTGACTAGTCATGTGATAATGATAGAGGAATCAGCCTGACGAACATAGTCTCTAAAATCCTAGGCTCAGTAATCATGCACAGACTAAGCCGAACTCGGGAGGAACAAACGAGGGAAAATCAACCGGGCTTTAGGCCAGGTAGAGGCAGCATAGATCATATCTTCACTCTCCGACAGATCCTTGAACATAGACACACTTTCAGGCGTCCAACAGTTGCCATATTTCTTGACTTGAAGGCGGCCTTCGACTCCGTGGATCGAAAAGTAATATGGCAATGTTTGACTGTGAAGGGAGTGCCAAGAAAGTACATTGCACTAATCAAGGCACTCTACTCAAACTCACGTAGCCGTGTAAGGGCTTATGGGGAATTGTCATCTGAATTGATAACAACCAGTGGTGTCCGTCAAGGATGTCCACTTTCCCCCTTTCTGTTTAACTTCATCATAGATATGCTAATGGAAGTATCCTTAACTGAACTTAACGACTTAGGAATCGACTTGTTACCAGGGAATAATAGTCTTATGGACCTAGAATACGCAGACGACATAGTCCTGTTAGGGGAGGATGCTGAAGAAATACAGAGTCTTCTGAACACCTTGAGCAGCAATCTTCGTGTGTTTGGCATGCGATTCGCCCCTGTAAAATGGAAGATGCTGCTACAGGACTGGACTACATCAACTCCAAGCTTAGTGATAGGGAGTGAAGTGATAGAACATGTTGACCACTTCACCTATTTGGGAAGTTGTATCAGCACCAACGGACTGATTGGTGACGAAATCTCAGCACGGATCCGAAACACTCGAACTGCTTTCGCTAACTTACGCCATTTCTGGCGTAGGCGTGACATCCGGCTATCAACCAAGGAACGTGTGTACTGCTCAGCAGTTCGCTCCGTCTTTCTCTATGGCTCTGAAACATAGCCAATACGAGTTGAAGACATGAAAAGGTTGACTGTCTTTGATCATAGATGTCTACGATCTCTTTCTTACGTTAGGTGGTATAATAAGGTAAGTAATGTTGACGTTAGGCGTAGTGTTAGGCAAAGAGGGAAAATCAATCGACGAGGCTATAAAGTTACATAGATTGAGATGGCTAGGTCACGTGCTGCGCATGCATAACCATCGCCTTCCCTGATGGGCATTAATAGCTGATATAGGTGCAGGTTGGAAAAGAGTAAGTGGTGGCCAAACAAAAACATGGCCTCATCAATCCATGAAATCCTTGACAGTTAAACTGAGTCAGGTAGGTAGGGAGATGCAGACTTCCGGGTTGGGGCCCTCGGGACTCTAAGAATCAATGGCTGGGGACAATAGGCGACATGGCTCAAAATCGTTGTCAATGGCTTACGCAGATGTATTCAGTCTCTGTAATCTTTCATATTCCTTTCTACCATTACTCATTCTGTTTCACTCTTATACTTGTCAAGACTCTATTGATTCTCTTCACTCATTTACTTGTCTACCTTTGTGTGCTATTTGGAACGTGGCAACTCGAACTGCTGCGCTTCGGTGCCAAGTTCTATGTTGAATCCAGACAGACAGACCCTTGACTAGTCATGACTTCTCACAACAGCTTCAGGATATCCATCTCGAAGGCACTGAAGAGCTCGGAGGTTGATATATACTCAGATTATGAGTTTTGTAGGGATTTCGATCGATTTCGGTATAGTTACGTTTCACAAGCCGTTGAATTCTGATCCTAAGGGCTGAATGGTTAACCAGTTGTTTAGCCTCAGGACCAGCAGGTCACGGATTCAAGGGTGGCAAATGCTGAAGAGTTCCAAACAAGGAGAAAAACAAGTGTTCCGTGCTCCCTAGTTTTTAATGGCCCCTTTAACTACTAAGCGTCAGGTCATGATGAAATCTGTTAATTATTATCAGGAATTAAGCTACTGGTAATTACTGATATAAGTATAAAACTTGGGCACTATGGTAGAGCGTAACTCCATTATGGATAAGATTTTATTTTGATAAATCACACAGTGTTGTACAGTAATATTAACTGATGACGTTTCGAGCATAAACTATTGCTCTTAATCATATCAACTTGATATGATTACTGGTAATTACTATTTCCGATCGATGCGATCAGACCAACAATATGAATGGGTATGATAAAAACAGGTTGAAGTATGAAGGAAGTCATCATATAACATAACATAAATTCTCTCATTAATTTTTTCATTAATACTACTGAAAAAGGAAGCACGACAAAGAAAAATAAAGTCAGCAAAATGCATGTGAATTAATTCTATTTTTTGCAGGGTAATAATCTATAATGTTTTTGATCATTGTAATCGCTTGAATTATTATCATTATTATTCCCTTGGATTCTGAGTGGAACATAAGGCTTCAATAACACATCTCCACTTTATTCTATTTTCTGCTGTTCTCTTCAGCTGAGTTCACGACTGGCCATAATCTCTCATGTCCTCCATGTCATCCTGGCATCGATGAACCACTCGTCGCTTCCCAATCGGATTCCACTCGAGCGATGGTCTGCATTTCGCGTAATGTCATTCGACGGCCTCCTCAACATCTGCTCAATCCATCTACATTTTCTCCTACATATCTGTTGAGCAATCGGCTCTTGGTTGGCTTTTCCTAGCCAGATTTTCTTGTTGCTAATTCTTTTTAGCCGGCCGGGCATTTGATCTTCAGTATGGAGTCAGCCAGCGAAGGCAGGCAGCTGTTGATAATAGTCTGTAACCTTTTGGGAATCCTTTTCGTGGCACGCTGTCCAAATTTCTGACCCGTATACAAGAACTGACTTCGCTTGAATATCTTAAGACTGATGCACCTAAAAATGCGTGTAATGACTAAAGGCCAAGTATTTTGGTCTAAATGCAGGAAACTTATTGATGTGTTCTTCTGTATATCTGGTCAAACTTCCGCGAGTTATACACAGTCCAAAATTACACTCCAACAATAACAAAAACACGAGCTGATATGATTGATTCCGTGATACTATTTAAAAAATATAAAACTAACTCAACAGTCCAAACATTTCTCAGGTATAAAATAGGTACCCATATTGCAAAACTAAGTGGACCACAGACAACAGTGAACAACTCTACCAGAGAATCTCAGTTAAGTATGAAGACCCTGTCTGCATGAAATAAATAGGACAAAACACGATCCCTGAAAACAGACCAAGGTCAAGAAGTTACTCCATGAGGTAACCTTCACTGCACTCAAAATCAAAATCCCAGTCGGAAAGTAATACATCATCACACAACAGCAAAGTGAAGCAGTCAAAATATGGTTCAACAAAGAAACAAAGGCAAATAATAAGGCGTAAGTCTAAAGAAGATATGCAAACCTTAGGATAATAATAAACTGAGCAGGAGGAAAAGAATAGTAGTTGCAGCGTTCCCACTGGAACATAAGGCTTCAAGCTGGAGTTGTGAAATTTCGGTAGCAGTGGTACTTATTTTTACGGGATAGGGTTGCTAGCTTCATACCCAATGCACTAAGTATTTAATAGGGCCTCCTTTTATTAAGCGTGAATATTAAATTAACGTGCACCTTAAGTTCTCTCTTCTATTAACCCGTTTCTACATCTGAATGCTTTTCTACATCGATAAACTGTTAACTGACATCGCGCAGCAGGCCAGCCTTCGAGTGGAACGTGAATGAGAAACGACGAGTCAGGTATGGGTCGGAGGGTGACATAGAAGAGATGGCAGTCTATGGGCAGTAGTTGTACAAGCAGCTAAAGAGAACTGAAGGGAACAGGGTGAAATGAAGATGTTCTGCTGAAGCTATATGCTCCACTCGGAACTTAAGGGAATAACAATAATAATAACAAAAGTAGAAATTAAGTTGAATAGTCACATCATTTAAAATCAGCTGCAATAAGATGAATGCAATTAAAACTTCCCAACCCATCATACGTGAAGAACCTAGAAGACCTGGATTTCGCGGATGATTTTTTGATGTCACACAAAATCGAAGACTTACAAGCGAAAACCGACAAACTGGTCGAAGAAGCAGCAAAGACAGGACTCCAGGTGAACATAGACAAGACGGAGGTTATGAAAATAACCAACCAACAACAACAACAGCAGCAGCAACATCCAGCGCCAGTCACCATCAATGGGAGGGATTTGAAAGAGGTTACTTCATTCACTTATCTAGGGAGCATTGTCTCAACTACAGGAGGAACGGACGAGGTTGTCAAATCGAGAATCGGGAAGGCGAGAAACACATTCATCAACCTGAAACCAATCTGGAAATCTTCGTCACTCAGCATCAACAACGAAATTCGGATTTTCAAAACAAACGTCAAGTCAGTCAGTTCTTCTATACGGATCAGAAACTTGGCGGGTCACAAAGAATATTTCCAACAGCCTGTTGCAGACCTTTATCAACAACTGTCTTCGTTCTATTCTCAAGATCAGATGGCCGGAAAGAATCACAAACAAGAAACTATGGGAATAAACAAAACAAGAACCAATCGCCCAACAAATATGCAGGAGAAAGTGGAGATGGATTGGACACTCGCTGAGGAGGCCACTGGGTGACATCGCGCGTCAGGCCAACGCTCGAGTGGAACCCGAAAGGGAAGCGGCAAGTGGGACGTCCAAGAGTGACATGGAGGAGATCGTGTGAAGAGGAGTTGAAACAGTATGGACTAACATGGATGCAGGTGAAAAGTACAGTAGAAGACAGAAGCAAGTGGAGACGTGCAGTTGAAGCCCTATGTTCCACTAGGAACCCAAGGGATCAATAATAATAATACCCATCATACATTCAATCTGCAATATCTTATTACTTTCACACTTATAAATATATATATATATATATATCAATCTTTACACTCCTGTTTTTATTTTCATTGTCATATCGTTAACTCCTGTTTTCAAGAAGAATAGAAATTTAAACAATAAAAAAATCAATCACTTATATCAATAAATTCAATATATAATTTTTATTGCCTGTGTGTGTATACGTCAATCAGTAAATTGTATAAGTGTACAATATACATCAAAGACCTTGATGTAACCCATATTATATACATATGTATGTATTTTTGTTTACCCTTGCTGCTGTATATATCCGGCAGCAGATACTTATGCTCCACACAAATCTCCGACAGACTAAATTAAAACTGACCTTTTTCAATTGAACAAAATACACGAGATGCTACTACTTATAAGTATGAATAGATTAAGTATAAATAAACGCAGTAAATAACTGTTATAATTATACTTATCACTAAGCAATGTTATCATTATTATTATTATAAACATACCTCTTAAACTGAGACGACTGTAGCGTTCATTGCAAATCGATAAATCGATACCCTATTAAATAAATTAATGTAATGAAAAGAATAATTAATTATCAATACCTCTATAAGAGGTTACCACTGGAAATTATTATCATAAATCACACGGGAGAGTTAAACTACTCTGGTGTACTATGGGATACAGTATTAAGTACTTTTATTGATAAGAAGGCAATTAATATATACATACATACATTTTAGTATTAACAGATTAGATGTTTTATTATTGTTACTTCTATTTATTCTCTTGGATTCCGAGAGGAACATGAGGCTTCAGCAGCGCACATCTCCATTTCACTCTGCTCTCCACAGTCCTTCTTTATCATGTCCCACGACTGACTACAAGCTTTCATTTCCTCCTTACACGATCTTCAGTCCACCACAGTCGAGAATATCATCGGTGATAGCAGGCAGACTTATCTGACTCCTATCTTCTGTTGTGAATCACTCGGTATGCGGCATCATCACATAGCTGTTGATAGGGGTTTATAAATGTTTGTGACTCTGCACTCCGTAGTGTTGAAGCGATTCCCGAATTATTTCGAAGCCAGTCCTGTCGCTTGACGTGGACAGGAGCATGATTGCGCGCTAGTCTTTGCAAGGGCTAAAGTCACCCTTCTCTGGCAGTTTGAGAAGGTAGTCACCTTTCTTCAAATGGCTGAGTAGCTTTCTCCTTCCTTCTAAACTTTTTGCAATAGTACCGTCAGCATATCCGCTACAGATCTGTTCTCAGTAGCTTTGGAGGATTTCGGTCTGGTCCTGTTGTCTTCAGGGTTGACTTTCAGTAACTTCATGGCTTACAAAACGTCTGCTTTCATCGGAGGATTGATGTTCACTGACAGTTCTGTGGCGGTTGATGGTGTTCCTGGCCGGGTTTCAGGTGGTGGTCGGTTCAACAGTCCTTTAAAAAGTGATTAGCCCATTGTTTCCTTGGCTTTTCCACCTTAGCAACTAGATTCCCTTCGCTAACTTTCATTGGTTTCACCTGTGTTGGTCTCTTCCAGAGTAGCCACCTGGTTATCTGATGTAGTGCTCTGAGGTCCCTCTTACCTGAATCCTATTCTGCTTCAGTTTCCAGTGTCATAAAATTGTATTTTTTCCTTCCAAGGACTCTTCTTTATTCAGTGCACCGTTTTATTCGGAGTGATATACATGGGCAACAGGAGAAATGTGGCCCATTGGCTTAAGCAGTAGACTTCTAACCAATGGGTCCAGAATTTCGAACCCTACTACTCCACCCATTTAACCCAGGCAAATTGGCAGTATCTTCAGCCCTTATACAATAGGTGTGGCCCGGTATATGAAAAATCCATTGTGAGTAATTGAGTTCCAACCAGCTGAAACAGGTAACAATATACCTCTGCTATTATTCAGAATAGATATTAGACTATACAGTATCCTTGAAATATGAGTTTATGGTACTTCCTACTCGGTTATCCAAATTGAAGTGGGCTGTGAATCCAAGGCAGACTAAATGAATGCAGAACAGGGTAATATACAATTAAATACAGTGATGCATCACTCTTCAGGGGTATGTTTCCAAAATACAAAACAGTCAGAAACAAATTGAAAAATCCCCATTGAGTCATGTAAAAGAAAAGACGTTCAGCGAAGAGTTACTCTTTTCAGCGATATCATTCTCAAGCTGTACAATCGCATATCTATATGGTAGATTGTCTTAGCAACAAAGGGAATATTTCCAGAGATGTGTCATTGGAATTGTAAACCTGTATTAGATGACAAATTACGTAACGGAAACCCCGAAGGTTTCATAACAAAATCCATGAAGCCAAAACCACTAAATCCAGCCACACTCTTTGCTCTTAAGAGATTTCTCTACCTGAATCTGCAATTTAATGCAAACTAATCGGCAGAAATAATGAGAAACCGCCTGCCCTGCTCATTGAATAAAGCCTTCGCAGCCGACGCTAGACTAACTTTCTCCACAAACCATGATTTGCGCGAGCGTGAAGGATAAGCTACCACTGTTGGTCTCTTCAGTGTGCATCTATCAATTCACCTGCTCCTGTGGAGCCGCCTATGTCTGTCGTACTCAGCGTTTGCTATGCAAACGTATCATCGGATACTTACCCTCATGGTTTTATGAAGGAGAGAAGAGATCCCCCCGCAGCTCTACCCTGGAACACCTCATAGAATCTGGACATCAAGCTAACCCACAAACGAACTTCAAAGTCATCTACAGAATAGGCGGGAATCTTACTACAAGAAGACGAATCAAACTTCTTCAAACCGCAGAAGCAATGATAATTCCCGAACTCTGCATACAGAAGTTTGTTGAGTCACTAAATCTACAATGGACCTGATGTGTCTTAACACCGGATATGTAGCTTTTTTGTTTTCGTTTCTTAATTGTATTTTCACCTCAGCCTTTATTAAATTTCTACCACTTATTACCAATGTTGTTAACTTGACTCTTATTCAATTCTAGTTGAATTCTACTCAATGCTGTCGATTATATATTATTTTAATCCCTTCACTCAAGATAGAGCTTGAAGTTCTGTAGCATTTTTACAGGATTAGTTGCTAGCCTCATGCCCAACCTTTCCTCTTTATCAGCTTTTATTTCTGGCTTAGTAAGGTAAGGGAGTGCCTCGGTCGGGGATTGAACCCCGGACCATGTGCATGGTCGGCGAGCGTCCTAACCGCTATACCACCGACGCACTGTCGATTATATTAATTTACTTATTTAATTTTGTCTTTGTTTCCACCTGATTAACACTTTTTTATATTACGTAATTTATTATCAAAACAGGTTCACCATTCTAATGACTAATCTTTGGAAATATTCCCTTTGTTGTTAAGATAGTTTACCACACACGTATATGCGATTGCACGGCGTGAGAATGACACCGTTGAAAAGAACAACCTCTCTCGGTGAACATCTTTTCTTTTACAGAAACAAATTAACAAGACAAGTAGCAATAATAATGATCATTTTCAAAGTAAAATGAATATACATATTTGTGCTACGATATCGATCGGATATACCACGAAGCACTGTCACTAGTCATTCAAATTTTACGATAACTTGTAGCCCAACCCCCCCCACGCCACGAAAACGCGCCCATTTCTAAGGGTAATCAACAATATTGTAACTAGATGACACACATCTTGATATGACCAGTATGACACCACTCCACCGACTTTGAATATAGCTAACATCACATATCAAGATGGTGTTGACAAAAGCATTATATTCAGTTATTGGTTTACAGGGACTTGTTCGGTTTCAGGACTCCATCATGAACTGACATCGGTTAGAGGACCACTGGAAAACCTAGGAGTGCTGGACAGCTGTTTCGTCCTAGTTTGGGACTCCTTAGCAGTACGCACCCACTGAGGTTCAAACTCAGAACCTACTGGTTACAAGGCTAGCTCGTAGACCTTTAAGCCACTGGGACCCGATCCAATGGCCAATAATGGCGCAACCACTAGCAAACATCACAGAGTTTGAACTTCAGTGGGTGAGTACTGACGAAGAGTCCCAAACTAGGACGAAATAGATGTCTATTACTTCCAGGTTTTTCAATGATCCTATAAGCAGTGTCAGTTCATGATGAAATCCTGAAATACATTATATATCTACTTTAAAAGATACGAATCCGACTGAGAACGGGCAGAAAGTTTGTCACGTATTTTAAACTGATTATTATTATTATTCCCTTAGGCTCCAAGTGAAACATAGGAGCCTCAGCAACACATCTACATTATATCCTGTCATCTACAGTCCTTTTGCCTGACTCCACAAATGACCATAAGCTTTCACTTCCCTCTCACACTATCTCCACCATGTCAACCCTCAGACCTATGTCCAACTCGTCGTTACCCATTTGGTTTCCACTCTTCATGGCCGGATGCGTCATGTCACACAACAACCTTAGCACATGTCCAATCCATCTCCATTACTTTATGCACATTTGTTAAGCCACAGGTTGGTTGACTGGTTGGCGGCTCCCAGGACTCCTTGTTGCTTATTCTTTCCAACCGATGAAAGTCTGTAGCCCGTCAGAAAAATGATTTTTGCAACACGTTAAATCACGAACCACGTAGAAGCACTGACTTGACTTTAGTGTAACTGAGAAGAGAGTAACATTTCAAAACTCTTTGTCCATTGAAGAAGCATCAAATCGAGTGTTGCAAACATATGTATGCATAATCTATGCTAAGATATATTACATAATATCTGAAAATGTGTATAGGAAGAGAGAGAAGAAGAAACGTCATTACCCTCCCCCCAACACACACACACACACCCCCAATAGGCTTACCTTTAATTGTTCTAATAGAAATTCAATAGGCGCAACTTTATATTCATAACAAGAGGATAAATAGGCTGCTAACAACTCTTCACTTGAACAATTATCTGGGACTATTTGAAATAATTCAGATAAAATAAAATTAAAAAATAAATAAGATTAGCAGTAGTCTTAATGGGAGAAGGTTACAATAATAGTAATAATAATAATAGTAATATTTAGAACAACACATTTAAGCGAACAATACTGTTTTCAATTAGATCCCATCAGGCTTAACTCTAATATACATTTCCTGGATGTCTTACTAAGTAGGCGAGAAGATAGGTCACTTGGGAGAAGCGTGTATAGAAAAAGCACATTCACAGGGCAATACACACACTTCCTTAGTTACTTGCCCATTAAATATAAAAGAAATGTTGTTAAATGTCTTACAAGCAGAGCAATAAAGATATGTACGGATCAACTCTTACAAAAGGAATTTGAATATATTCACGATTCCTTGACGGAGATGGGCTATCTGAGTAGTTTCATAAAGAAACATATGAAAACATCAGAGAGAAAACCTGAGACTATGACTGCAGGTGAAGAAAAACCTCTATTTATTAAGTTACAATTTAATGGTGACTTATCAAGTGAGATTTTATTCCAGAAACTTTCCAGGAGTATACGGAGAACGTTTTACGCAGCATACCTATGTTTGTCATTCTCTAGCTGACGAATGATTCGGACGCAAAGGAAGGATAAGCTAGATAGTTTTGCCACATCTATGTGCATTGATCAGTTCAACTGCACCTGCGGTGACAGTTATGTCGGGTGTACTACTAAGGCAGCTTAGCCAACGTGTTAGTGAACATCTCCCATCGTCGTTTGGCAAAGGACAGACAAAAACAATCCGTAGCTCAATTTTGTCACATTTAGTTGATAGTGGTCATGTAGTGGAGAAGACGAGAGCTTTCAAAGTAATTCATCGTATCCCACCGAATCTTTCCAATAGACTTCGTATTCGTCTACTGCACACAGCTGAGGCGATAGGCATTCGAAATGTTAATCATAAACTATGCATTCAAAAGAAGTTCGTACAGCCATTATCCCTCCCTTGGCTTATTAAGACATAATCAACTGATGACTTCTACACCACCCCTTACTTATATTTTCAACCCCTCTCTTATCATCCCTTAATCTTATCACATCTTCATTAAAAACGTGTTTCATTTACTTCCCTAACAATCTAGCATTACTTAATCGGTTCATTTGTTTTTACTGGCCTTTATCGACTACTTCCACCTGAACATTTGTTTGTTTAATCATACTGTTTTTCATTATTCGTGTTATCACAGATTGCCTCACTTTTTCATCCTCATTATTGATAAGACCATTTTTATTATTACTATTACTATTATTATCATTATTATTATTACCATTACTGCTATTATGACTAATTGCACAATTTATATGCACAATCTTATTATCCTATTGACAAAACACCATGATTGGTTTATATTTGAATTTTTATTTGTAAAGTTATGTGCATTAGAAATTAAGCCTGATGAGATCTAATTGAAAACAATATTGTTCGCTTAAATGTGTTGTTCTAAATTTTACTATGAGAATATTTAATAATAGTAATAACCAATTGACATATAAGACAAAAGGATTACATTCATATTATAACGAAAATCCCTACTATATTACTATTATGAATAAGAATATGTACTCTTTTGATGTAAACTCTTTATTCACTAATGTGCCTTTGCTCAAAACAGTTGACATTTTGTGTGATTACATTTCCACACACAATTTTTTCATCCCGTTCCCTATATCTTATTTAAGGGATTTATTACTTCTATGTACTAGCAATGTTAGGTTTACATTTGAAGGTGATTGTTTCCGCTAGATTGATGGTGTTGCCATGGGAAGTCCATTAGGGTCCCTTTAAGCAAATATCTAAATATCGTACTTTGAGAGTTTATCAGAGGATTTAATCAAAGATGTACCACTTTATATATTTTTTTGATTACAGCTCGATTCCACACCGTATTTTCAGTACAAGTATGGAATTTTCAGCATGGATATCGGTGGCCCAAATTTTGCAGACCTACCATAGATATCGGGTGTGCGTCGGCAGGGGATCGACTCCCGGACCATGTGCATGGTTGGCGAGAGTCCTGACCACTGTGCCACCGATGCACAAGGTATGTAGATGATATAGTAATCATAAGTGATAAACCTTGTTCTGCCACCTCAATTTTAAATCGAATGAACGAAGTTCAGAATAGCAAATCACTTACATCTGTAGAAGAGTAACATAATTGTTTATCTTTCCTGGACATATTGCTTAGTCGACGGTCTGGTGGATCAATAAAAACATTTACTTATAGGAAACCTATCTGGAAAGGACAGTATCTTAATTACCACAGTTTTCCTCTAAGAAAGACGTGTACATCAAGCTACCCTATATGGGGCATCATAGCAGCTTGATAACTACACAAAGACTGAACGCTGCTGTTAAAAAGAATTTTTATGCAGCTAATATCATAATAATTGAGAATGTGAAGCCAATATATCTATCCATCTAAGCCCTTTGAACATGCGAAAAATGATGTCACATCCCACTGTATTTACCAATGTGAATGTACGTGTGGCCACGCATACATAGGGAGGACTCATCGATCTCTGCAAGTAAGGGCTGGCTTCAGAGCATATTCCTAAATGGCTCCAGAAGCAAATAGAATCTTCAGAACCCATTAATGGTGAGAACAGGAGACCTAGCTCCTCTAGTGCGAAACATATCATAGAGACAGGACATAAAATTGACGTTAACGCATCTTTTAAACCTATCTATAAAACGTGTTTGGGGCGTATCCTAGCTGGCAATTAGAAAGTTTAAGCCACCTTTATGCGTTCAAAAACAATTCGTCATCACATTAAACCTTCCTTGGTAAATTTTGTTTTGATACCATAGCAGATGTACTATTACCTCTGTTATTTGGTTTAGTGATCTTCATTGTTATTTTGACCTTCAATATGTCCTTTTAACTTGACCTAAATTTATTTTCTCACCTCTTAACTCTTTATTAATTAATTTCACATATATTCCTATGACAAGTCCGCGTGTGTGATCAGATTGTTCGAAATGTGTTGCGCAAACACATTACACGATTCAGACAAATTACGTCTTCTTATTGCTTTATCTAAATTCATAAAGGGAACTAATTGTTTTAAATTTAGAAGACTATCATAGACGGACAGTACATAGACCCACAAAGTATCTTCCAGTGGGACCCCAATCAAGACCTAACAAAAACGGGAAGTGTTACGACGGATAAACTTCTTTGTTAGTCGATAAATCGTGATTTACGCATATACAGACACCATAACCCTATTGGACAATTTTGATTCGTTTATTTATGGCTTAATTTTCCAAGGGATATCGATATCCTGTAACCAATCAGATTTGTTTTATTTGTGGTTTGAATTTCTGAGGATTAATAAATATAATATAGCCCTATTTTGTCTAATAAAAGTTGTTGTTGTCGTTATTGTCTTTCTAGTCGTCGTTTTTCCCACTCTGACTTTTGTATCTATCTCTTAGTGTGGAAAATATGTTCAAGTGAACCAGTTGGTTATAGTGTCGTGTTCTGGAGGTGAATTCTAATCGAGTTAGACGAACCGACAACCCAGTAACACTCTATCATAAAAAATATAAAAGAATTGGACGAAGAAATATTAACTTTTCAATTAGATCCTGGTCGATGACTCTACTCTAATAAACATATTTTTTTATCCTTCACGTTCCCCAGTGGAACATAGGGCCTCAAGCTAGTGGCTTGAAGTTTCTGTAGCAGTGTTTATTTTACAGGATGGGGTTGCTAGCCTCATGCCCAACCTTTCCAACTCTTCACCAGCATTATTTCTGGCTTAGCGAGGTAAAGGAGTGCGTTTGTGGCCGGGGATCGAACACCGGACCATGTGCATGGTCGGCGACTGTCCTAACCACTATGCCACCGACGCACCTGATAAACACAGAAATTTGTAATACAATACAGAAATTGATCATGCTAGTGGTGATAAATTAGTCAATATCATTCACCATCCCACCCAAGGGGGTAATAACTAGCCAAGAAAATTAATGCAACAGTTGAAGGGTAAGAATATTTGCAAAGATGTACGAAGTGGATAAAATGAGTAAAGAAGAAATAAATGAGTGTCCAAATTGATTATGTAACAAACAAGTAAAGATGAAGTAAGCACAATAATAAAATAGTTAGGATAATGATAACTTGTAAATAGCTCAATGGAGGTAGAGGAAAACTTAGAGTTTTTTTACACGCATGTAATGATGAGATGATTCAAAAGCTTCCCTGATAGCAGAAACTACGCATCTGAGACAACCCTACTACTGATCGTCGCATGCTTCAACGTGCCGAAGTGCAAAGACGAGCCCCTACGTTGGACCAAGGCATTCGTAATCAGCCTGGTGTAGACGCCAGATAATCCAAATACAAAGTAACATGAGCTGTCCTTGTATTTAGACAGTTTTCATATGAGCACCTACTTCAGTCTGCATAGACAAATGATATCACTAACCATCACGTAATAAGTGTGGCGCATAGCCCGGAAACGTGTAACTGAGTTCTAAAAAACTAACTTCATATGGGCGCAACCATATGAGAAAATTACTGGTGCATTAAACATTCGACAGTGATTGCGATGAAGCTCTTCACCTTATTTCTGCGCTTCTTTAAACTCATGACTTCTCCAAATTCAAATTTGCACCGCTTACTGACAAAGGTAAAGACTTTACCACTAGTCAATTCAGGTCACATCTGATTCTATGTAGGACCGAATTATGCAGACGACTCGTCCACTAGATGATAAGTCTTCATGAGTCATCATTATCGGTCGGTCGGTCGGTTTTCAACATAGAACTTTGCACATATGTGCGGCAGTTCAAGTCGCCACACTCCCTCCTTGTAGCACACAAAGCGAGAGAAGAAAGTAGGAGAAATGCATAATATAGACAGTAAACAGAGGTGTGAGACAAAGGAATAGTAATAACGGAGAACAAAACAGTTTAATTGGAAATCATAAGTCACAAGGAGTGGATGCATCT